CCACCTCAAATATGTATTAGGTTGCCAACACGATAATAGTTGTAATTTATTACAAAATGACCAGTTAAATGTTTTTCCTCTTATTAATGGGCTATTTAGATTGATTAAACATCGACATTCCATTTAGTTATTCGTCTGAATTAGTCTAACAATAGCCCATTATCTTATTCTTAAATTTGTTTTCGTCTCTGTTTCGCCTTCAGTGATTGTTCATAAATTACATATCCGCTTTTGGTTACTGGACAAGTCAGCTCAACGTAAAGACTCCGAGTATGAATCTGGTTCGATATGTAGCTCATCTGCTTCTTCCATCATCAATGCAGAGACGGACGTTGGAAACAGCAATCCTGCTTCTCAATCTGCAGTCTCATTAGCTGCCTCTGAGCCCTGCTCAGCCTCCTCCTCTGTGATAGATCCCTCGGAGGCCACAGCAACAGCCGAAAACGGTAGTTGTTTTGGAGATGGTGAATTTGTTAATGAGAGAAATGCGGACGAAGTTTCTGCGCCTTTGAAACCTGCTATACAACCACCATTATTAGATTTTGGTATCAAAATTTCTCCAGATTCAGAGGCTGAGCGATTATCGGAGTCACATTCTCAACTGGATGACACTCTTAAAGCCCCTTTGGTGAATATTAATCTTACTGAAGAATCATCCAATTTATGTGCCACTTCTTCATCCTCCCTAGGATCCAGATCAGCACACGATGGTTTAGATTCATCTCGAGAGCCTCCACTTGGACTGACTGCGTCAACCTCTGCCTCTCTTGCCACCACCACTTCCATGTCTGCTTCGCATGATAGCAGCGACAATTGCCACTTGGAATCCTTTTCTGCGTCTACGGCCATCACTCCCATTGCATCGGACCTCGTCAACTCGATGAATAATCAACAGTTCTCACTTTCTGATTTCTACTTCTGTAGTGACACCTACTGGGCTGAATATTTGACTCTTTTACGTCAATCTGGTATTGCTAGTTATAAATCAGCCTCCCCTTTTTTAGATCATTTTCCGAATTCCAATGTTTGTGGACAATCAGTGAATTTGATTACTCAGCTTTCTCTAACCCAAATAGAGGGCTCTGGGGAGGTAAAAATGCCAGAAGTCACGAAGACTATCCATTCGGTGCCCCAAATGTGCCCAAGCCCCTACGAAGTGACTCTCATTGATGCTGAAGCACTGAGTGTAGAAGCTGATGATGCAGATGACCCGCGCCGTTGTCTCTTATGCGATGGCATTGGAGACGACGGAATCGAAGGACGTTTGCTGTACACCGGCACAGATACCTGGGTACTGTTTGACCTTTTTCAATCTATGCTAATGATATTCATTTTTGTTAATTATTGCCTGAATTAGTAGAAATTATAGAAAGGTCTCTTAATTGTATATGATAGTAAGAGTACAACTTGGCACTTGACAGACAGTTGGCTCTTTTAGTTTATTAAATACGATTTCAATACTACATTTTTCTGTCTTCACTTTTCTTTAAATTCCTCCTAGACTTTATTTTATATACATTGGAATATTATTTTTCTAATGCATTACATTGGGCCATCCTATCGAGGTCTCCATTACTCTGCCAGGCATTCTCTGACTTACGACATATGTATGGCGCACTTATCAATGTCTATAATATTTGGGATTTTACAAGGTAAATTTTTATATATGAAGACCAAGATGGTGTGGCCTTTTGTTTGATCGCAGTCTCCTTTAGCTGTGTTGTTGTTTTGACCTCATTTTCGCAACTTGGTTAGAACGAAAAGGAGACCCTGCTATAGTATTCATGACGGCTGACAGTATCGACTGTGTATATTCCCAGATATTTATCCAGCATCATCTATGAGAGACACCATCCTTAGCACAGACTTACAACTTATCAAAGTGATAAATGAAGGCAAACTCCTTAATTTTTTGTTCAACTCATTTGGCATCACTCCTCGTCCTTATTTTTGTGTTCTCGATTCTCCTTCTCTCTCGTCTCCTATAAACCCTACTTGATATTTCCATTTATCATTCACAGCATTCCGTTTTATCGTTTCTTTCAATGTTGCCTAAGCTTGTTTCGCTTTGACGTAAATCTGAACTGGCCTAGCCTACGGCATAGCACATGACCTTAAAGTAATCTCATTTGTTTGACTTATTATCCTATAAATATGGGACGTCTTAACGAAATTAATTATTTGTCTAAACATTACTTGGTTGTTTAGAGATGTTAAATTGTTTCCAAATTTGAATTAATCAAAGTTGAATTAATCAACTTTTAAATAAATTATTTGATGTATACACCATATTTCGTTTAAAGTGATGAATGACCGGTAATTGAATTTTCCCAGTGATATGAGTAGGCCTGACGTTTCCATAATACTTCGCATAGCCTTGATTCTCAAAAGGTTTTCTCATCCAAGCCAGAGTGCACCGTGGTTCAAACATAATTTAGGACTCATCAGCGCCCCCAGCAGAACCCGTACTCGGAAACTGCAGCGTATTGTCTCAATGCGTTAGCCATTACGCCACACTGCAACAAGGGCCCTTTGTTTACAGAGCAGACGATAATTTCAAGGAAGGCCAAGCCCTCCCCATATAACTTTCTGAGATCGTCTATTGAGCGAAATTATATTTTACTTTACCAATCGACTACATTAATTATTTTCGTTTGATAAGTACGTTTTTGAGACTCCTGGTAGATCAACACACGATGGTTTATATTTATCTCGAGAGCCTCCACTTGGACTGACTGCGTCAACCTCTGCCCTATTTCGTTTAAGGTTATTCACTTGTAGTCTCGAAAACCTACTTATAAAACTAAAATAAGCACTATAATCAAATGCTATGTTTGATACAACTTTGCTTATTCAACGATCCCATTACAGAAAATGATATGGAAAAGGACTGACCTTGAAGTTCCCGTTCCTCTTACACAAGGACACTCATGGCGTAGTGGTTAACATGTCGAGATTGTGAGCTGTATTATCTGGGTTTGAGTCCCGCTGGAGGTGTTGATGACACCTGGGCGAGGTCAAAATTACAGTCTACTGCCTGGATAAGAATACCTTTTTGGAAGCAAGGCTATATTAAATTCAACTACCTGTCCTCTATCAATAGGGTTAATTCATCTCAAAAATATACTTTTAAAATAATACTCTACTACCATTCCTTCATCAATTTAAACGAAATTGGGTAAATACATCTCATATTAGAGGATATTTAGTTTTGATCTTAGTGTTCCCAAATTTGTTTACCAAATTTTGATAACTCACTTTATTCTCTCCGATGCCCATTATCTAGAACAGGTAATGAGGTCTGCTAGATTCAGCTTTTAAGACATGCCTTATTTAAATTGTCTAAGAATTATCAGTATAAGGGAGTCTTCACCATATCCCTATGACTGATAATCAGCTGATTCCAGCATTACCTCCAATCTGGATTATTAGTGATCAAGGCTTATTTTTTTGAGATGCTTTTCTAATTGAATTGTAACTTTTGCTCGGAAATGAGGTCTGATTAGTGATGCAAAGTATGTATGCCAAATTTACATATCCATCCTCCGCATAATATATTTACTATTTATATCACATCACATAACCACAAGCTTTCAATGTCTTGATTCTAGGGATAATTTAACTTTTACTTCATTCACTGTTAGTTTTTGTTCAGCTTTCTTAAAAATATATGCTTTAATTTATGCTATCTCTTACTTAAGTGGGAGACTGTTTAATAGCATACAATAAAGCATTTATATGAAGAATAAAGTTTTATTTTCTTTTTTCTCTATTTTATTTATTTTCCTCCAGGTACACGTGAATTGTGCTCTCTGGAGCAACGAAGTCTATGAGGAGGATTCTGGTCAGCTTCGTGGCCTCGTCTCGGCCTTGTGCCGAGCCCGTTCTAGTCACTGCTTAGATTGCGGCCGGGCTGGCGCTACTCTTATATGTTCTAACCAGCACGGTCATTGTCCTTCACCTCCAGTGCCCTCCAAACCAACAATGCAAAACGATGCTTTGGCGTCACTATCATCTCGCAACGATGGCGCCAGCGTACTTCACTTTACTTGCGCCCTGCAGCGTCGGCGCAGTTGCCATCTTCAGCCTATATTCACTGCGGATAGGTCATTCTTCTGCTCTCCGACATGCCACTCCGCCATGGTAATGCAACGCCTTACGCACTCTCTCGACCGTCTCCGCTTGCGACGCGGCTCTTCTTCCACAACATCCAGCCTCGCGTCAGCCACTACCTCTACGAGTCGTCGAGATAACGACTGCCCTACAGATCGGCAGCATCAAGCATCGACATTATCTTCACCTATCAATGTTTATTTTGGTCGTGTTGCTTGCGATGACATTATTAAGCCATCCGACCTGGAACATCAAAGAGCCATCATTGCAGCTGATATGGAGGTGAGGCTGCCAAACTTCTTCCTATTTACTTCTTATAGTCTGATTTTAGTTTTAATGTTTTACTTTATATTATTTATTTTACTTTAGTGATGTATCATTTATCTCCTCGTTTCCTTATCCGCTACATTGAAGCTATCTATCAGTCATTAGCAGTCACCTTAGGCCGTTTATGGTAATTTAAAGACTAATATTTTAGTATTCCAACAACGAGATGACAAGACCTTATAGTACCATTCATTTTCCCCCAACGGGCTTCAATACAGGGTCGTGAATATCGTAACGAGGTTGTCACTTCACTAGACAGCCACTGGTGTCATTGGATCACATGGCAGATGCGATATTTGAGTCATGTTTGTTTAATCAGCAAACTCACTATAAATTTAATTTGTAGGTGCATGACTTTTGACCTGCTACCCACTAACACCTGTGACTAGCGAAACGCTAATAGCATTCCGATACTTAATACTTGGTATTGAATCCTGTGGGTATTAATGAGACCTAATTAAGATTAAGCCTGCAGTACACATCGGAATAGTTGACGCTTTGAGAGACAAGAGTTCTACTATGGTGCTACGAATGGCGAGACTCACTGACGATGCCGACTAAAATGCCGGCGAAAAGTCTGGGAAAGTACCACATCAACGGTCCTATTCTGGAAATGATGATGCATACAATGGACTCCGGACTAGCGGCGTTCCTCTAAGTCTTCCTACCAATATGACCGAGTTGCGAAAACAAGGTCAAACAACTTCTATACAACG